ATGGGTGTGACTTAGGCTCCCTGTAGTGGATTTAGATTTTTTTTTTCTCTTCAGTCAGGGAATGGCACCCTAGTCCTTTTGACGAGCCGCCATTGGTAAAGGTCAAGCCTTAGTAATCTAGTTTCTAATGACATCTAAATTTAAAATTAAAATACAGTAAAATTGTCTTGCTAATTGTATCCATCTGGTGGTTTTGCTTTTCTGTGAAAACAGAACCGATTTCTATGTGAGAACCCTGCTTTTTGTGAACCTGCATCATGGTGCTCAATGCAGAAAACATTTGATGTGTGTTTATTGTGCAGAAAAGCAGATAATACAGATGATCTTAATAAAAAAAAAAACCAAGAGAATATTTAGTCACTTCTTCCATCTGGATCAAGGCTACTGCTGAGGCTAATGTTTTATTGCTTTTCATATTAATTGCATTTTCCTTGGAGAAATGTTTATGCCCTTTCAAATTTAAGACAAAGCTAATTTTTAATGGTCACATAACAAAACTATAGATTTAGGGGTAGAAACTGTTTTACAGCACTGCCCCAAAGTCGGAGTCAACATTATTGGATGGTCGCTGGCAGAATTTAATGACACAGCTGACAGTGAGTTTTTTTCCACAATTTTTTATGTGATTAAACTTTTATGACCACAGAATGAAATATTTCTGCTGAGGTTTTAATTATTGGCAGTGACAAACGCTTTCAGACACATTTCAGGCCAAAGGCATTAGCTGTAATGAGTCTATTGTACCTTATAAAACATGCTGCCAATTCCCGAACGTTAGACAAAAAGTAAATGACGGCGTGAGTGTTTTGTGTTATGTTGTTAACAGTGGGGTTTTTTTTTGTTGTAAAATTAGTGCTGGCTGTGAAAAAATGTGCCAAACATCATGAGCAGAGCTTTTGTTTGTCACATTTTTTTAACCATTGTGCAATTTTAAACAAACAAAAAGTCAATTATCCGCTTTCTGGTTTATTAATGTCTGTGTTGCTGTGCTTCTGCAGGCGTACAGAGGCAGTGTTAAACCTTTTGTCAATTTCAACGCCAAACATGATGCTGAACTTCTCCATAGAGCAATGAAGGGAATCGGTGAGTTCTCAATGTTTTGTCTCTGCTCTCACTTTTCATTCTCTCCCAGCATGCCTCTATCATCAGGCTTTGTTTCCAAGTGTTTATGACTCTGGCTAAAATACGTTATTTGGCTGCATTTATCATCAGTTTGTAGAAGCTGCATAAGGAAATTCATCATCTAGACTCATTAATCTTTTTCCTCTTAATCTGAGCTGTTGTTTGATAAACTTTCTCAATTTCCCTCTGCAATTTAGCAATGACCTAAAAAAAAACAAGCTGTTTTGAGCAAAAAACAACAACAACATATTCCTTAATTTTTTTAATGAACAATTACAAAAGCCAAACATTATTTAAATTAAATTTCAGTTATAAAGCACCTTCATGTTACCAATCAAGGCACCCCAAAACACTAAAAGCAAGGAGCACATAAAAAGGTGAAATAGAGAATAAAACAAGTATAAAGCAAATAAAAAAGCAATACATGCAACAGGATAAAACCTCATTTTAAAACACAATTCAACAATTCAAAAAGAGAAAAGATGCTAAATCAATTTTGAAATGAGGATATACAAAGAGTGTAATATATTGATGTATATTAGGTATTAGATGGATGAAACAATATACTGTTCAGCCGGGCCCAGTTTATATTTTTGGTAGTACCATGGTGTCACCTAGTGGGGAGCTGGTGAAATGGAGTGAATGGCGGAAGTGAGGGAGAAAATAAAGAACGTGTGGACTGAACATGACGGCGGTTCTTGGTGTCTTCATTGTTATGGATATATTAACAGTTTAGCATCAGTCAAGTTATTACAGTGGCGACGAGGATGGGATAATCCTCAAAGAAGAAAAAAAAGGAAGACCCTGGAGGAAGGAAGAAAGTGGAGTACCTGGGCCACCTGATTGACAGAGAAGGATTGCATCCAACGGAGACAAAGGTAGCTGCCATAGTAAATGCACCCCAGCCCTCAAATGTCACAGAGCTACGGTCATTTTTAGGGCTGTTAAACTACAATGGCTGGTTCATGAAAGACCTGTCAACCATTCTACAACCGCTACACCAACTTTTAAAGAAAGAAGTACACTGGGAATGGACACCAGAGTGCATGACAGCATTTGATAATGCAAAAGAACAACTAGTAAAGAGCTCAGTAGTGGTTCACTATGACACCAAGAAACCCCTGAGGCTAGCTTGCGACGCATCCCCTTATGGCATAGGGGCGGTCATGTCGCATATCATGGAAAATGGAGATGAGAAACCAATCGTTTTTGCATCATGTACCTTGACGGAGGCAGAAAGCAAATACAGTCATATCGAGAAAGAGGCATTGGCCATAATATTCGGCGTGACCAAATTTCATAAGTCTCTGTATGGTAGAAAATTCAGTTTGATAACTGACCACAAACCACCCCTTGCCATCCTGGGACCCTAGTCCAAAATCCCCACTTTAGCTGCATTGCGGATGCAGCGATGGGCGTTGAGACTGATGGCGTATGACTACAGTATAGAGTACAGAACGTCGGCGGAGAATGCAAATGCAGATGCATTGTCTAGACTTCCAAAAAAGGGAATGGATAATACCACAGAGGAGAACGGAATTTTCTATTTCTCAGTAGTAGATGAACTTCCTGTACAGGCTACAGAGATTGCGCAAAACACTCTCAAAGATCCCGTCCTGCGTTAAGTACTGGAGCTGACTCGGATGGGTTGGCCGAACTACATCAAAGTCGAGACACTAAAACCATATTTCACCCGAAGGAATGAACTGTCAGTGGAACAAGGGTGCATTCTATGGGGAATTCGAGTTATCATTCCGCCAGCACACCAAGAACAACTACTGCACAACCTACACCAAGGACACCCTGGAGGAAGCAAGATGAAAAACTTGGCCAGGAGCTACTTGTGGTGGCCTCAGCTGGATAGAGATATAGAACATGCAGTACAACAATGTAACGCGTGTCAAAGTGTGAGGAAACTTCCAGAAACGGCACCTCTACACTGCTGGCAGTGGCCTACCAGAGTGTGGCAGAGGATACATATTGACTTCGCAGAGAAAGAGCAGCACAATTTCCTTGTGTTAGTGGACAGTCATTCAAAATGGCTGGAGGTGATCCAAATGAAAACCACCACCACAGCCAAAACGACTGAGGTGCTGCGAAACATTTTCTCTTCCTACGGTCTCCCTGAGGAGATTGTTTCGGACGATTACAAGACATTTCTGCAGAACAACGGCATCAAACAAACCTTGGTACCGGCTTACCATCCCGCTTGGAATGGAGCCGCAGAACGGGCCATCCGGACCGTGAAGCCATCATTGATGAAGCAGGTGCTGGATGAGAAGAAGCAAAATATCACTATAACAATGCAACACAGGCTTGCAAACTTCCTATTTTCTTGCAGGTGTACACCACACAGTGTTACAGGATGTACACCCGCTGAACTGTTCCTAAAACGTCAGATTAGGACCAGATTCTCCCTGCTGAAACCAGATCTTGCTAAAGTTGTGGAAGGCAAACAACAGAAACAGAAATACTACCATGATGGACCAGCCTCCACGTTGAGACATCTGTCAGAGGGGGACTCAGTTGTGATCCAAAATTTCCGCGGAGGAAGGGAGAGATGGACTGAGGGAATCGTGGAAAAGCGACTGGGACCAGTCACTTACTGGGTGTGGAATGGAGTAAATCGACGGTCAGTGCACATTGATCATCTGCTGTATAAGCGGCCATCCAGTCCAGAGACAATGGAGTTCCAGGAGCAGCAGACGGGGGTTCAAGATAACTACCCTGCAGTGGTCGAGCCAGATTTTTTTTTGGGGGGGGGGGGGGGGGGGGGGGGGGCACTCCTGGAGCAGTAGGTGGTAGCCCGTACTCACCTGAAGCTACACCATTACCACAGATGCAGGCTAAGGACATGCCCGTAACACCGTTACCGGTTTCAGCGGCTGCTGACAAGGCAGTGACACCTGCCAACAGTGCAGCCAGGTCCACTGAGGTGTTGGAGCGCAGATACCCTCGGACGGAGAGGGCACCTCCCAAACGACTGAACTTATGATGATGATGAAAAACAAAGAGTTTCTGTTGGAAAATGTAAAAAAAGTGTCTTCACTGTTATGGATATATTAGCAGTTAAGCATCAGTCAAGTTATTACAAAGAGAGCTCCTGTCTGATTTTGAGTTGGTTCCAGAGTCTTGGGGGACAAAAAATGAAAGTCACTCTCAGATTTTGATTATTCCTTGGGACCACTGAGCGTTGATGTGGATGGAGCATGGTTTGAATGAAGATTTGAAATATGCACCTGGGCCACTTCTGCAGCCTTATATACATGGATCCAACATTCCAGTGCCAGTGCCAATTAGGGTTGTCACAGTAACCGGTGTAGCGGTAAACCCCGGTAAGAAAGTTGACAATAATAATAACCGTCTTGTTTTTTAAAAAAAACTATATTATCTCTGTGGGTTACCGTAGCTGCGGTGTAGGCGCGATGACCCTTACCAGCCACCGTATCATCTGCTGAAGTTGCCGGCGGCACATGCGCGCTTTGCTGTTTACAACCAAAACTTTCTTGAAACTAAAGCTGAAATAATGGCCAAAGGAGGAGACGGCAGCGCTCAGGAGGACATTTTTTATCCCTCAAAGAAGACAAAGGGAAAGTACGGGCATTTTTTGGATATTTGAAGAATGCCGAGGGAGTTTATAGAAGACGGCTATCCTGTTTGCAGCACGTGCAGAAAAAGTGTCTGTGAAAGGCAGCAACGCTTCAAATCCCATGACACATCTGCATGACCATCACCCACAACTCTACAGTCAACGCAAGGCAAGTTAACGTTATCGTTTTAGCTAAAATGCGTGATCCGAGGATTTGGGTTGAGGGAGAATGCAACGAGTCGCTATATAAAGCAGCCGCAGCGCCGCTACCTGCATATAAACCGTGTCGCGGACACCGCCATGTTGAAATGACGCTATGCATTACGGGGCTCCCAGGGGCAGATAAGAGTTGGTCTCTCTCCGAGAATAATTACGAATTTAACAATGATTACTGCCTGATGACATTTTCCCACATCTGCAAAGCTCACTGGAACACAAACCGATGACAACATTTTCCTGATATAGGGTTTATTACTCAAGTAAGGGTAAAAAAGTATCTGATTAGAAGGCTGGTTGAGTACTGAGTATCATCTGGTCTAATATTTTTTAAATGATGACATCAAACAGACAATAAATACGAAGTTTTGGGCAAATATTGGTATTTTAAAGACTGAAGGGGAAATATGTAAACAAATAAACAACATAATTACAATATAATAAATTGTAGGCAAAATTTAGACACAAACTGAGGACAATATTTTCCTGATATACAGGGTTTATTTAGTTTCCTGAAAATTTAACATGTTTGAAAAAAATACCGCGATAATACTGAAAATCGTGATAATTTTGGTCACAATAACTGTGAGGTTAAATTTTCACACCGTGACAACCCTAGTGCCAATGAAACCAGGATAGGGAAAATGTCTTCCCATTTTTTCACATTGCTAATATATCTGTGTGCAGAAATTTGTCTCCAAAAATCAAATTGACTCAGTACTGTTTACAAAGGTCCAACCCAAAGGCATTCTAGACCTTCAGATGAACCCTACTCCTCTAAATCTTGTTTAAGAGTCACAATCAGAACATATGGATTCATCCCAGCTAATAAAGTGATACTGAACCAGTCATGTTGAAATTGCATGTTTTTTTGGTAATGTGCAGAAATATCATCGGTTGGATTTTTTTTTTCACGTTTTAAATAAATATTTTCATTTTGGTCAGAATGTCAAACACGTTACTTTCGATTTCTAAAATACAACCAAACATAGGTTTTGCATGTTTTAAACAATTTTTCATTGTTTAAATTTTAATTTCCAAACAGGTACAGATGAAGATACTGTTCTCATGGTTCTGACAGCTCGCTGCAATGATCAGCGTCAGGAGATTAAGGCTGCATATAAAAAAACCTACGGAAAGGTAAGGCAAAGGATGTCACTTGGTCTGAAGAGGAGAAAATGCAACAAAAGTAAAAGCAGGAGTGAATTCATCTGATACTGAACTTTATTGTATTCAAGGACCTTGATGCAGGATTCAGAAAAGCTTTTCAAGAGATTAATAAATAAACCAGATTAGGGGACTTTTATTCTTCATGATTGCTGTATAGGCTATTGATTTACACATTGTTAGGATTTAAATCAAAAACCTATTAATAGAAATAGGTCATGTGTTCTGCTTGTTCACATAATCAGTCACTTGTATTCATCGATTCCTACTTTCACAATAAACCTGAAATTTTAATTTACTAATAATAAAAGGTGAAAGTCAACACAGGTGTTTTATACTCCAGTTATACAATTATAAAATACAAAATCAACAATAAAAGATGTAAAATTAATAGAAATGAGGAGAAGGCAATAAAAACACCAACGTGCATAAAAGCGGATGCACTGGCTTGCTGCATTTACCGATCAATCAAATGAGTCACAATGTGAATTAAATATTTAAAATACATATGACATTTTCTGCAAGCGACATATATTAAGAGTCCTAGTCTAATAAAATAGCCTGACAAAAGCAAAGACTTCAATGCAATATCCAGTTTCTATCATAAAATATCACAAAGCAAAAGTTGACATTCAACAATCTTTCAGGGAAATTTCACCCCAGAAGCGACAGGACAGGCAGTCCAATTTTCTGCAGCCTCCATGGACCAGAACGCCGTGCAGTTAGTTATAGGAGACACAGACGTTTTATGCTTTAGAGCTCCTGCTGTTCCATCACACCATCGAGGTGTTTTATGACCACCTGTGGAGGTTATTATGAGGTATTCTGGCAAAGGTAATTACTGCCTGAAGAATAAATAGGAAAGGTAGACCGAGAGTCAAAATATACACCAGAAAATCATAGAGGGCCCTGTGGATTATCTCAGAATATACAGTGTTTTATTACCCTGAACATGTCTGTTTGTGTTTTATAATTTCAAATCACTTTTAGGATGTGGTACCAACTTTAAGATTGTTTTAAACTTGCTGTTTAAATGACATCAACAATCAGAAATGAGGTTCTTATTTTCAATGATGATTTGAAGTAGATGTTTAGTAATGAGAACTAAAACGTCATAATGGATATAGATAAAACCAACTGTGATGTTATAGTTACAGTGCAGTGAAACAAATATTTGTTCCCTTCATAAGTTTATTTGGCTTTTGCTTTTTTGTCACACTTAAATGTTTCTTGTCAGCCGACGTTTGAGTTTTGGACAACTATAACCTGAGTGAGCTCAAAACAGCTATTCCAACCTGCTCTAATTGGAAAACAGTTGCACCTGGTCATGCACCTGCAGTCTTTGTGATAGCTGGTAATTAGTCTCTCACATTACTGTGGAGTAATTGTTTTATTTCAGTCGCCTAGGTGGGTTTTCCTGCATGAACACATTGTGTAGGGGTCAAAGGTCAGACATTCATAGGGTTCTCTTGAAAAAAACAGAATTATTGGGTGTTTCTCAATACCAAGGAACCTCGCTTTGATAACTTGGCCCCGCCCTGGTTGCCTAGGAGATACGTCATCAGGAGCCGCAAAGACGTGTTCGAATGTTCATGTTCTGCCGAGGCATGTGTTCTCTGTTTGTTAGCTGTTTAGCTAGCTGAGCAAGAATACACAGGAGGTGTCTTGTAGCCTAGCCTTTGTCCAAAAAATAAAAGGCTTGTTATACATTTATGAATATATTTATCTCCTGTGCCACATGATGCTACGTGACTGCCGTGGAAGCCACGGTCACGTGATGCAAGTCTGTTCCATTTCACCGTTTTCTTTGACCAAGGAAGGACAGTGTCCTCAAAAGCAAGGCGCCTGGCCTCACAAGACATCGCCTTGCAGGGCCAGGTGCCTTGACAATGAGAAACACCCATGGATCTGTCAACTAAAGCAAGTTATTAAGGTTCTGAAGCAGCAAAGCAGCCTGAATAATACATGAATTTTGACCTTAACCAGGATCCAGTGAGACCTGTAGTTCTTTAGATGATCAAGGTTTTTGTGTTGCTTGTTGAGGTCTTTTAGCCTTGATGTTATCGAGGTTTTGTTAATTTGATTTCTACCAGTCTGGCAGTAATCAAGCTTTAGTGTAGTTGCCAAAATTGAATGGAGATTAGCAAATATAGTGGTTAATCACACTTAACCCCTTAAAGCCTGACGTATGAAACCCAAATACATTTCAAAGGCTGTTTTTAATCTGATTGTCTAATAATGGTAAAAGAAGTTATCAATTTTATTTATTATATAATAATACAATATAATATACACTACCGGTCAAACGTTTTAGAATGCCCCACATCTGTTGCAGAAGTTCCCATAAATGTGTGTGTGGCACTTGTGTCCAGTTCATCCCAAACCAGCTCAATGGGGTTCAAGTCTGGAGACTGTGCTGGCCACTCCATGTTTTCAAGCTTACCATCTTGTTCTTTTTTCCTGAGGTAGTTCTGGCATAGCTTGGACTTATGTTTTGGGTCATTATCTTGCTGTAGGATGAACCCCTGGCCAACTAGGCGCATACCAGGAGGTGCTGCATGGCGTTGGAGAATGCTGTGGTGGCCATTTCGGTTCAGGGTGCCTCTCACTCTATACAAGTCACCGACCCTGGATCCAGCAAATCAGCCCTAGACCATCACACTTCCTCCTCTATGTTTGACAGGGTTAGGGTGCTACACACTGTGGAACCATCCTTTCACCTACTTGACGGCATACAAAGATCCTCCGTGATGAACCGAAGATTTCAAATTTGGATTCATCAGTCCATAATACCTTCTTCCAGTCTTCAGTAGTCCAATGGCGGTGTTTTATGGCCCAGGCAAGCCTCTTTCTCTTGTTCTGACGTCTTAGCAGTGGCTTTCTTGCCGGAACTCGTCCAGTCAAACCTGTAGGTCGAAGCCTTCTCTTCACAGTTGAAACTGAGACTTGCTTACTACGACCACTATTAAGCTGTGCTTGAAGCTTTTGTCCTGTGAGCCGCCCATCACACAAACTCTTGACTCTCAGAAACAAGTCCTCTGATGCAGTTTTGGCTTTGGGTCTGCCAGACCTTTTCCTGTCAGACTTCGCCCCAGTTTCTGAGTGCCTTTTGATGGTGAAGGAAACTGAACTCACTGACACCTTGACTTTCTTTGCAATTTCCCTGTAAGAAAGACCCACATTTTTAAGTGTTATGATGGTCTGTCTCTCTTCTATTGTTAACCCTCTGGAGGCAGGTGTTGCAGATTTGCAACGTTAAAACCTACAGTACCTACCTGGTTACTCCACATATGTATTTCATGAGCATTTTTTAACTCAGAAGTACCCCTGAAGGACTTAGTGGTTCGTCCTTTTATCGAAACTTATTTAGAGCCTGAGAGGGTTAATTGCCTTTTTCTCGCCATTTTTGTAGCAACACTATCTGCAGTACATTACTGTTCAACTGATGCTCACGAGGGTATAGATAGATAGATAGATAGATAGATAGATAGATAGATAGATAGATAGATAGATAGATAGATAGATAGATAGATAGATAGATAGATAGATAGATAGATAGATAGATAGATAGATGATAGATAGATAGATAGATAGATAGATAGATAGATAGATAGATAGATAGATAGATAGATAGATAGATAGATAGATAGATAGAGATAGATAGATAGATAGAGGTAGATAGATGATAGATAGATAGATGATAGATAGATAGATAGATAGATGATAAATAGATAGATAGATAGATAGATAGATAGATAGATAGATAGATAGATAGATAGATAGATAGATAGATAGATAGATAGATGATAGATAGATAGATAGATAGATAGATAGATAGATAGATAGATAGATAGATAGATAGATAGATAAATAGATAGATAGATAGATAGATAGATAGATAGATAGATAGATAGATAGATAGATAGATAGATGATAGATAGATAGATAGATGATAGATGATAGATAGATAGATAGATAGATAGATAGATAGATAGATGATAGATAGAGATAGATAGATAGATAGAGGTAGATAGATGATAGATAGATAGATGATAGATAGATAGATAGATAGATAGATAGATGATAGATAGATAGATAAACTTTATTGTCCACCTCGAATTGAGGCAGAAATTCGCCTTTGACATGGCTCACCTTACAATACAATCCATATCGCATTCACACAAATATATAAAAGACAATTAAAAGGTATTAAAATGTTATCATCGTAAAAAAAACTTTAAGAATTCAAAATTGTAATTGCAGTGGGAACAAATTATTTCTTATAGACACCTTTCTTGGCCCTGAACCTCCTTCCTGATGGAAGTAACTGAAAATGTGGGTTCAATGGATGGGTTGAGTGTGCACTGATCAGGGTAGCCTTCCTGTGCACTGCTCGCTCGTGAAGAACAGAAAGTGGGACCTGAGGTGAACCTGTGATTTTGCTGCCTAATTTAACAATGCGAGAGAGTTGTTTTGTTTTTAACTGTAAGAAAGTCATACCAAGCTGCAGTGTTGGGAGTAACGCCGTTTAAGTATAACAGCGTTTCTAACGGTGTTCTTTTATAGGTAACGGAATAATCTAATTAATTACTTTACCCGCAGTTACAACTCCGTTACCGTTACTGGGGACGGAAGGTTGTGCGTTACTATGTGCTTGTCGAACGCTGAGCAACAGGCTTTCTGACCGCCACACTTCAGCTGCAGCCAGGGAGAGAGAGGTGTCGGCGCGCTAGGATGATGTCGACGCCAAAACAACCAAAACAAAGTGGAGACTCACCTCTCACATCAGGAAGAATCTGCGTGTTTCGAGCATTATCCGTTCTTTCATAATCCATTGTTGAATTGTGATCGGCAGAAGCTTTTCCAGTTCACGCCTCACTTTTTACAGCAGCGGGCCACGTCTTCTTTTATCAAAACGTCGTTTCTGTTACTGATAAGGAAATGCGTGCGTTAAGCAGTGCGGTGTGTTGAAGCTGTCATCAGCTGATCAGGAGCTAAGGAGGCAGATGTTTTCATCCAAGAGCATCACGGCCCGCAAAGAACGAGGAAGACGTGATGAATATCTACGGCTGCAGACCCCCCGCAGATTCACTGCTGCAGATTTCCACCTGCAGCAGTGAATCTGCGGGTCTGCAGCCGTGCCCTTCTTGGCGTGACAGTGGGACGTCCTGAAGGTCCGCTCACCGGTTCACCACTCAGACGTCCTGATCTTCTACCTTCCTAGATCATCCAGCTGTAACCTGTTTCTGATCATGTCTTTAGTCCCGCTGTAACACTGATGCATCAGTCTCAAACGTCATGGAGCTCAGGTGTTATTAGAACTACCTGTGTGTGTTTACCACCCAGCTTCAGCTCTTCTGTGGTTGGGTCTGACCCACGTTAGTACATTTAAGTCCTCCATCAGGCTTGTGCCTCTTCTAGTGTCATTTTAAAGGATTTTATTTATTTATTTAACTGATACTAGATTACCAGCAACAGAAATGCTGCTAAAAACACACAATTATGTGAAGCTGGAAAAATTAGAATACTGTGCAAAAGTACATTCATTTCTGTAATTTAACTAGACCGAGATACCATTTAAAGGCTCGGGAACCTTTACAGGTGTTTCTATTTGCAATTTTAAATTTTAGCTGATTGGGGTTTTGTTAAATATCACACAGTGACCTTTTAATAGTCTAGATAAGTGTAATGTTCCTATTAGTAGTTCCTCCTGTTAAGTGCTTATTTATTGAAATTATTCAGGTTTATAAAAAACATTTGGACATACATTTTATTATGTTCCAGTCATTAGTCATTTATATTTCACTATTGTAGTAATTCTTCCATTCTTTAATGAAAAAAGTAACTAAGTAGTTACTTTTGTTGGTAATTAGTTACTTTTATGATCTTGTAACTCAGTTAGTAACTGAGTTACTTTTTTGACAAAGTAATCAGTAACTATAACTAATTACTTTTTTAAAGTAACGTTCCCAACACTGCCAAGCTGTAATATTGAAAGTTAGAATGGATTCAGTCAGTGATTTATATACAATTGTTAGGATGTCCTTGTTCACATTGAGTGCTCTTAGCTTCCTTAGCAGGTGGAGTCTTTGCAGCGCTTTCTTGTAGACACCGTACAAAATACGATTTTAAAATACTGCAGCTGTTTAGAAACATTGTATGTTTTGTGTATTTGGATTATTTCAGCAGATGAAGTTCCCTTGATTATCATCAGTACATTAGGAGCAAAATCACAAATATGTTCACACGTTTTCATGTAAAGAACATTAAACCTGTTTTGGACAGTATTCATTTTACTTACCTTTAATACAAAACATTCTGCCTTTATGATTAATAAGTTGTCGTTGTTCATTAAAGCCCATGCCTCTGAAAACAAGCTGATTTCTATGCTAACACAATTATTAATGATTTCCCTCCTCTTGTTCTTAATCTGTGTTTGACTGCAGGACTTGGTGAGTGCTCTGAAGTCTGAACTCGGTGGGCTGTTTGAGGATCTGATCGTGTCCCTGATGACTCCACCTGTTTTATATGATGCTACTCAGCTACACAAAGCTCTGAAGGTGAGTCAAAGTTTTTGCCTTGGCTGGGATTAGGCCCATAAATACTCATCTCCGGTGATTAAAATTACATCACAGTGAAGTTTCTTTCTTCCATGAAATAAAATTTTTTTCCACCTTAAAGTAGATTTAATGCAGCTCTACAGCTTTGCCTCGTTTAGTATGCACACATTTATGAATGGGCAAATTGGTTTACATTTCCATCTGCACCGGTGGCCCGGCTGCAGCTGCTCTCCTTTATCTCTGCTCCAGCACGGCGGAGACGCTCTTACAGATGTGCTGCTGGAGTAATTCAATTATACATGTTTGAAACCAAGACCAGCTCTTAGGCAGAAAGAGGAACGGAGGGGGAATTCTGTGTATGTATAATTGCTTGTGAATGCAAAATGTAACCATCTATTGTGCTGAAATGGGGAGCTTAAGCCCCCCCCACCCCCACCCCCGTTGGCTCATGGGTCCCCGTAAGAATGAAAAAATGAATGCAAGTCAATAGGGCTAAAAGAGCTATTTTTTAATCTGCTTTGCCTTACGCCCTGGATTGCACATATGTTGTACTTTAGTTTAAATGAAAACTAATGATGGGTGTTTCGACCACACCAGTCATGTACTTTGAGATTCATCAGCTTGTAAAAGTTCGTAATTAGCATGACTACACACCAGACGTTGATATGTTGCATATATGACGTCACTACAGAATCTCTTGTCCTCTAGCATAGCTGCTACTTACCACACGGTCAGATTTATGGTGGTTCTTTCCTCCTGAAGGAAGGATTTGGTTTGCTGAACTTACAGCCTTTTTCCCTCTGTTTTCTCCGTGTCTGGTTTCATGATGTCACTTTGGTGATGCGCGTTTGTACTCTGACAAATGTTCACACAAAACCTAAAATAGCGTTCCCCTCCTTATTGAAAATAAGCGCTTTCTAGGCATCAATATGCGTATTTAAAATTCATGGACATCATATGTGAAATCCATGGCACATAACTAGCGGGATTAGAAAATAGCGTTTGTAGCCCCGTTGACTTGCATTCATGTTTTTGTTCTTCTGGGCACCCATGGTCTGGAAGTAGATGGGTGTAACTTAGGCTCCCTATTGTGTTTATTTGTGACCCTGACAGATAATCACACTCAGCTGCTTTTGATGCTGGTTGGCATGCTAAATAATAATGGGTATAAAAAGGTTCTTCTTCTTCTTCTTCTTCAAAAAGCACATTGTTGTTGTTGCCCAACTCAAATCAGTTAAAAAGCAGGAAAGAAACAGTTTCATTTTCCTGGAACATAAAGTCAGCAGATGCACCTAAAGCGTAAAATCTTCAATTGTTTTAAATCTTTTCTAAACACAGCATAGTAGAAGATTTGTTTTTAATTTTTTTGCTGACAATGTAAATCTAGTAAACAATATTTTAAATAATCTTTTTCTTGATTATTCATGTTGTTAGTGGGTTTTTTATAGCTCCTTTGTTTCAGAATATGTCATTTCTATTCCACAAACCCGTTAGACTTTAACATCACACCACGGATAATGTGCTCTGAAAGAAATGAGTCAATGACACAAGACAATTTCATTCAGAGGTTTTTTTAAACATCACTCGTCTTATGTTACAAAAATGTCAAAATCAGTTTTTTTGTCTGTGTGCTGAGGGTTCTATTATATTTTGATTGCCTTAAAAGCTCAAAAGAAAATAACTTATCTCATGGGTGTTTCTCACGTTTTTTAATTTAGCATCCTCCATGATGGAAATCATCTGTCATGGAGTTTTTATAAACTTCATGATATTTAGCTTGTATTTGTGTGTTTTTTTCTGTATTGACTAGCCCTGACGTAAAAAGGAAAATTACACCAAATCAAACTTGATGAACTCTTTAGCAACTTAACATTTTACCTCTGATGTGTTTTATGTCTCACTCAAGGCTAATACAATCTGAAGTGAGTTGCTGAGGAAAATCCATATAGTTTCAGATTGAGCTGACTGTGTTTGGTTCCCAGGGCGCCGGGACTGATGATCAAGTCCTGATTGAGATCTTGGCCTCCAGGACTGGCGAAGAGATTAAAGAAATCACCAAAGTCTACAAGAAAGGTGATGTAACGTGACACACGGTGAAACACAAGACAGCAGGTGGCTAGTCTGAACTACAGCAGCTGTTTTACAGTAAATGACAAAGTGATCAATAATTGAAATTAATTACTCACACTTTTGTAATAATTTTAATTATAAATAACAGAGTTTTTTTTAGATTACCAGTATTTGTATCTGGAAAATGTTTATACAGGTCTTTCTCAAAAAAATTAGCATATTGCGATAAAGTTCATTATTGTCTGTAATGTATTGATAAACATTAGACTTTCATATATATTAGATTAATTACACACAACTGAAGTAGTTCAAGCCTTTTATTGTTTCTAATATTGATGATTTTGGCATATAGCTCATGAAAACCCAAAATTACTATAAAAAATTAGTATATTTCATCCAACCAATAAAAGAAAAGTGTTTTTAATACAAATTAAGTCAACCTTCAAATAATTATGTTCAGTTATGCACTCAATACTTGGTCGGGAATCCTTTAGCAGAAATGACTGCTTCAATGCGGCGTGACATGGAGGCAATCAGCCTGTGGCTCTGCTGAGGTGTTATAGAGGCCCAGAATGCTTCGATAGCGGCCTTAAGCTCATCCAGAGTGTTGGGTTTTGCATCTCTCAACTTTCTTTTCACAATATCCCACAGATGCTCTATGGGGTTCAGGTCAGGAGAGTTGGCAGGCCAATTGAGCACAGTAATACCATGGTCAGTAAACCATTTACCAGTGGTTTTGGCACTTTGAGCAGGTGCCAGGTCGTGCTGAAAAATGAAATCTTCATCTTCATAAAGCTTTTCAGCAGATGGAAGCATGAAGTGATCCAAAATCTCCTGATAGCTAGCTGCATTGACCCTGCCCTTGATAAAACACAGCGGACCAACACCAGCAGCTGACATGCCACCCCAGACCATCACTGACTGTGGGTCCCCCATTGTCTGGAATTGGTCCTTCTCCACAATCTTCCTCAGGGTCCGGTCACCTCTTCTCGTTGTGCAGCGTTTTCTGCCACACTTTTTCCTTCCCACAGACTTCCCACTGAGGTGCCTTGATACAGCACTCTGGGAACAGCCTATTCATTCAGAAATTTCTTTCTGTGTCTTACCCTCTTGCTTGAGGGTGTCAATGATGGCCTTCTGGACAGCAGTCAGGTCGGCAGTCTTACCCATGATTGCGGTTTTGAGTAATGAACCAGGCTGGGAGTTTTTAAGAGCCTCAGGAATCTTTAGCAGGTGTTTGAAGTTAATTAGTTGCTTCAGATGAGTAGGTTAATAGCTTGTTTAGAGAACCTTTTCATGATATGCTCATTTTTTGAGATAGGAATTTTGGGGTTTCATGAGCTGTATGCCAAAATCATCAATATTAGATACAATAAAAGGCTGGTACTACTTCAGTTGTGTGTAATGAATCTAATATATGTGAAAGTCTAATGTTAATTAGTATGTTACAGACAATAATGAACTTTATCACAACATGCAATTTTTTTTGAGAAGGACCTCTATATTTGGTTTTGAAAATTACTTGTGGGACAGTTTAACTCAAGTTTAGCAGGTAATTTAGGCATTTTCCAGGTTATTCCTTAAATAAAATAAGGTGAGTCTGTAATGAATGTGAGTTTTCCCAGATCAGTGTTTAATGCTGTTTGCTTTCTACCTCTTCTGGCATCAAATAGGTGAAAACTCAGAATCCTGGTGCTTAATTTAAAGGATTTCTTCCTTTGTTGACCTTATTATGTGCTTGAAATATATATATATATATATATATATATATATATATATATATATATATATATATATATATATATATATATATATATATATATATATATATATATATATATATATATATATATATATATAGAACCAAAAGAACTAAAAAACCTGACAGCAAAGAGCCCTGTTTCTCTGATTTGAACAAAAGAGAAAGCCGCTAATTGACTAATCAAATCACTGCAGCTGTTCCTGTAGAAATGAAGAGCAGCCGACTATCACGTCCATTAGCAGCCGCTGTGAGCTGTCCTTCCCTCTTTTCTTTCTTTCTCCAGAGTTTGGAGGCAAACTGGAGAAAGACATCTGCGGTGACACCGGAGGGAGCTACAGGAAACTGTTGGTGATCCTTCTGCAGGTAAAAAGAGGCCTGGCTGGAAAGCTTGTGTTTCCCGTCACGATAATGAGAGTCCGTGGTGATGTCATTATAAAGTCATGAGAAATATAAGTCTAGTCTTGGGAGGGCAGGCTGAGGACACCACCACCACACACCACCGATGGTTTAGAATGTGTTTTTGTTCTGCAGACAGAAAAGTAATCCCAGCGTTCTGCGGCTCTCTCAGGTTAATCTAATCTTCAGGAGCTACCTGAGCTCATCTGTACTGACCTACATTCTGTTTGTCACCTTGTGTTTCTGTCTTTTCCACCTGCCTGCCCTCCAACGTTTATACTTTTTGCTCTGCAAAGGGGAGCAGGGAGGAGGACGTAGACGAGGACAATATTGAAAAGGATGCTAAGGTAAGAAAATGTTACCTTAAAGGAGTACTTGACTCATTTAATCTATATATTTGCAGTGGTCTCTGGGGAGAAAAAATATACTGGCGCACCATTTCTATAACCTAAAAGTTTCCCACATCACAGCTGAGCTTCAGACGGCAGGTTTTAGAGTCCCATTTCCTAATATTTGGACATCTATCCTTGGATTGGATAACAGCAACACGACTCTACAACTGACTTGCAACGTGGATGTTTCATCTTCACAAATAACTAAAACCGGGAGGAGCTTCTGCCGTGTGGTGATGTTGCTAATGCTAACGGTTAGCAAACTAGCTGAAACGTCCACTGCTCTTTCCTTGACGATAAAGCAACAACAGCCTTCCCCATTGAGAGTCAAGATGGGTGAGTCCATGAATTTTAAGTGACAGTGTGACGTAGATCTGTCAGGATTTTCAAATCCTATAGTTTCACTGTCAGAAGCTTATCCAAGAAATACAGACGTGGACAAAATTGTTGGTACCCTTCAGTCGATGAAAGAAAAAACCTACAATGGTCACAGAAATAACACAAATTTGATAAAAGTAACAATAAATAAAAATTAACCAATGTAGTGAACCTGATTAGGCTCTTTTAATTATGTAGAGTAATGGTTTATGCTCTTTTATGAAAGAGGAACCATCCTACATATTTTATAGTTTTAAGAAGACTCAAAGGTTGTTTTCATCGATAAACTGTCGATAATATCCTTGGGTCTGTGTTTCGGTTCAATGAAGAGACAAGTTTGAAAGTAAAAGATTTAATTCTTCAAATTAAACTAATGATTTTGAAATACAAGCATAGGAAACAACAATCAACATTGGCAACTTTGTTGAACAATCTTTAACAGTTGATATTGTAAACTTGCTCAAATAGACCTTGTGTTGGATGTGTGAGAATTGAGAGTGGTGTGATTATGGATGCGTGTGTGCAAAATGTAGTGAAAATTGAGAATAAGGTGAGATGAATGCGTGTGTGCATCTGATTTTGCTTCAGGAAGAAACAGGTGTCTGAGTGAAAAGTGATGGTTTGAATAAACTTAGGTTTTGTTGGAAAAGATGCATCAAACGCTATCTCTCGTGGACTGCCTCACCGTATTCGGACCCTCTTTTAGACCCGGGACATCAAAGGACGATGTTTCATCCAGGGGTGACACCTCGGCTGGCAGAGAAGACGAAGGCGTGCTGCGACCCGGTCCAGAGATGACCTCGGTACACGTGATGATGAAGCGTTTGCAGATGCGCTTTCTTAAGTTTAATTACTCAGAAAATCAAAAGACTCGGGACGAGTCTGTGTTAGCGGTTGCAATTCAACTATCCCTGTCTGGCTTGGCAGGAATAGCGTGGGCGGGGGGGGGGGGGGGGGGGGGGGGGGGCAGGAGCCGCAGGCTCCCTTCCCCGGGTGCGTGTTCAACACGTCCGAACTCTCTCGTTGACAAACTCGAACTGAATCATGAGACTGAAACTTACCAAACCCAGTTCTCTTCTCAAAGCAAACGTGTGCGTCAGAGCAAATGTGTTTTGGAGTTTACTGTGAGAGTTTGTGTGTGTGTGAGTGTTTGAGTGAGTGTTTGAGTGTGTGAAGGTCACCACTAAAACATCTTCAAACATTATTTAATTAAGTATGGATTCATTATAGCTATGATTAACCAAAGCATAATAATCATTCATTTGATTAAAACACATTTATAATGAGTAAAATGGTAAAATGATTATTTAGCATTAATAAACAAAGGAAGCGTAAGACTCTATTATGACTAGCTTTTCCATGGGAACACATCTTCTGGCACTGCAGGTGTTCAGATGTTATGGTTTCTCCCAGACTCGCTGGCGTTCAGGTCTTAATCTGTGGGTGAAAGTTCTCAGCGACCCAGCTCTTGACCCAGCCGAGTCAAATGACCTTTGGCACAGAAAACCCATATTTCCTCACGTTACACCAATGAAAGTCAAACATTGTTTTTTAACCATGCCTCAATGGAAATATTTTAAAAAATTAACTCATGGCCTGGACAAAAATGATGGTACCCCTAACTTCGTATTTTTTGAGCAACCTTTTGAGGCAATAACTGTAACACAATTAATGTAACTGTCAATGAGACTTCTGCACCTCTCAGCAGGTATTTTGGCCCACTCCTCATGAGCAAACTACTCCAGTTGTCTCAGGTTTGAAGGATGCCTTTTCCAGACGGCATGTTTAAACTCCTTCCAGAGAAGCTCAATAGGGCTGAATTCAGGGCTCATAGGAGGCCACTTTAGAACAGTCCAGTGTTTTCCTCTTAGCCATTCTTGGTGTGTTTAGCTGTGTGTTTTGGGTCATTGTCCTGTTACAAGACCCATGACCTGCGACTGAGTCCAAGTTTTCTGACACTGGCCAGCTATTTGTCTCTAGAATCTGTTGATAGTCTTGAGATTTCATCGTTCCTACACAGATTCAAGACACCCTGTGATACGGCAAAGCAGCCCCAGAACATAACAGTGCCTCCTCCATACTTCCCAATAGGGACAATGTTCTTGGGGTGACGGTGGCACAGGAGTTAAGTGCTCGCCCCATAATCGGAAGGTTGCAGGTTCGAGCCTCGCTCAGTCTGTCGCTGTTGTGTCCTTGGGCAAGACACATAACCCACATTGCCTGCTGGTGGTGGTCAGAGGGACCGGTGGCGCCAGTGCTCGGCAACCTCGCGACTGTCCAACTGCAGAGGGGAAGAAACTGTTTTTGTGGCGAGAGGTTCTGGTCATAATGGATCTGAGCCTTCTGCCAGATGGGAGCGAGTCGAAGAGACTGTGTCCAGGGTGAGACGAGTCAGCTATTATCCGACCTGCACGCCTCAATGTCCTAAAGGTGTACAGATCTTGAATGGAGGGGAGTTTGCAGCCAATGACCTTCTCTGCAGAGCGCACGGCACGCTGCAGCCTCTTCTTGTCCCTGGTGGTAGCTCCAGAGTACCACACGGTGATGGAGGAGGTGAGGATGGACTCGATGATAGCGGTGTAGAAATGCCTCATTGACTGTGGTGATAGGTTGAATTTCTTCAACTGCCTCAGGAAGTACATCCTCTGCTGGGCCTTTTTTCTGATGGTGGTGATGGTGGGCTCCCATTTGAGGTCCTGGGTGATGGTGGTGCCCAGGAAGCGACATGAGTCCACCATCGTGATGGGAGTGTCAGACAGGTTTAAGGGGGCGATGGGGTGTGTGTGTTTCCTAAAGTCCACAACAACCTCTGCTGTCTTCTGGGTGTTTAGCACCAGGTTGTTGTGGCTTCACCAGGACACCAGCTGTTCAGCCTCCATTCTGTATGCGGACTCATCCCCATTAGAGATGAGTCCGATGATGGTGGTGTCGTCAGCAAACTTAATTAGTTTGACAGACTCATGCTTGGAGGTGCAGCTGTTGGTGTACAGGGAGAAGAGCAGAGGGGAAAGAACACAGCCCTGTGGTGAGCCGGTGCTGATGGTCCGTTGGTCCGAGACATTCTTCCCCAGCCTGACTTGTTGTTTCCTGTCTGTCAGGAAGTCAGTGATCCACCTGCAGATGGGGTCAGGCACATTCATCTGGGACATTTTGTCTTAGAGGAGGTCTGGCAGGATTGTGTTGAATGCAGAGCTGAAGTCCACGAACAATATCGTGGCGTAGGTACCTGGGGAGTCCAGATGCTGCAGGATGAATTGTAGAGACATGTTGATTGCGTCATCTACAGACCTGTTTGCTCTGTATGCAAACTGCAGGGGGTCCAGGAGGGGGGGGGGGCTGTGAGGGTCTTGAGGTGGGGGAGAACTAGGTGCTCAAATGACTTCATGACCACAGATGTCAGAGCCACAGGTGTGTAGTCATTCAGTCCAGTGATTCTTGGTTTCTTGGGGACAGGGACTATGGTGGAGATCTTGAAGCAGGCAGGCACATGAGATTCCTCTAGTGAGGAGTTGAAGATGCTCGTAAACACTGGGGCCAGCTCTTCAGCACAGTGCTTTAGAGTGGCAGGAGCCACGCCATCAGGGCCCGGGGCTTTTCGTGTGTTAAGAGACCTGAACTGCTTCTTTACATCTGCTTCATGAATGTGTAGATTTCTGGTGGAGGTGTGTGATGTGAAGACTTCATGAGTGGGGAGTGAGGGGGAGGGTGATGAAGGTAAATTCCACAGTGATGGTGATGGCTCTGTAGTGGGGAGTGGCTGACCAATGTCTCTATTGTTGGGGCTGGACGAGGAGTGAGGCCTGCCTGATGGCTCATCAAACCGACAATAGAAATTGTTTAGGTTGTTTGCCAAGAGCAGATTATCAGTGGAGGCGGGGGGTTCTGGGTTTGTAGTTGGTGATGTTCCTGAAACTTTTCCACACAGAGGTTGGGTCGTTTTCAGAGATTTGCTGCTGCATTTTGTCATGATGCTGGTGTTATGCTTTGACCAATTCTTTGCTGAACCTGTATTTAGTGTCTCTGTAGGAGTCCTTGTCCCCCCTTTGGAATGCATCTCTCTTTTCTAGCCACAGCTGTTTGAGTTTAGGGGTAAACCAGGCTTTGTCATTGTTATAACTCACCCTGGTGTGTGATGTATGATGCTGTCCTGACAGAAGTGGATGTAGGAGGTGACGGTATCTGTGAACTCATCTAAACTGTCTGAGGTGGCCTTCATTACCTCCCAGTCTGTGGTCTCAAAGCATGCGCGAAGCTCATCTGTGTTATCTGTGTTCCACTGTCTTGTTGACTTCACAACAGGCTTGGAGAGTTTTAGCCTTTGTTTGTAAGCTGGGATCAGATGGGTGGTCAGAGAGTCCAAGCGCAGCACGCGCTACTGCATGATAGGCTCCTGTTACTGTGCTGTAACAGTGGTCCAAGGTTTTGTCCTCTCTGGTTGGACATTTGATATACTGTTTATATTTGGGAAGCTCCTGGCTCAGATTAGCTTTGTTAAAGTCTCCAAGTACAATGATGAGGGAGTCCGGGTACGTCCGCTCCATGCACAGTATCTCTTCCGCGAGCGCACGCTGAGCCTCGTGCACGTCCGCGTCAGGTGGGATGTAAACAGCGCCTAGAATGAATGAGGCGAACTCCCGCGGAGAGTAAAATGGTTTACAGTTTGTGAAAAGATATTCCCGAGATGGAGAACAATGCTGCGCGATCACTGTGACATCTGTGCACCAACCATTATTGATGTAAAAACACACACCTCCACCTGTGGTCTTGCCGGAGAGAGTCGCTTCCCGATCTGCGCGGATGAGGTGAAACCCCTCCAGCTGGAGCGCGCAGTCGGGGGTGTCCTCACTGAGCCATGTTTCAATGAAGCATAGAACCCCAGATGAGGAGAAGTCTCTGTTTATGTTCCTCATCCGGGTCAGCTCGTCCATTTTGTTGCGGAGTGAGCGCACATTAGAGAGGAAGATCCCAGGTAGAGCCGTGCGCAGTCCCCGTCTCCTCAGACGCACGAGCGCGCCTGCTCGTTTTCCTCTCCTCCTGCGTCTCACTTTCCTGATCAAAGTTGATATTAAATCGGCCCCGGATGCAACAAAAAACGAGGTTAAGTCCACCGGAATCATAGTGTTGTAACTTATGAGTTCTTCTCTTGAGTAGGAGAACCCAGATACACAATTTACACACAAAAACAGAACAATCACAGCGCACCAAAGTACCAAGGCAGCCGTCTGCGGCACCATCTTGGAAAGAAAAACCTCACAGACAACCTTGCTGAACACATATTTTACTGTCATCAACCATAATCATAATTAATCATTATTATTATACCCAAAGCATAAATTAATTTCATGTAATTAAAATACCTTTATATTGAACCAAGTGATCATATATGATGATTATATTAAACAGTACTAAAATCAATGAGTTTTATTAATTATTATTATCTAATTATTATCATCGTGAATTGAAGTATCCTCCTCCTGGGATGGAACAGCAGCAGATATGGATATGATCTTGAGCAGACATCATGGCTCCTTGTTTAATCTGTGGATTTAAAAGTACTGTTTGACCCAGTTGGGTAGATGTGCCCTTTGCCACAAATTAGAGGACCTTCGGTGACGCTACATATGCTTCATTTTTCTGAATGTGAACACAGAGCTGATGAGCAAAAAGTTCTCCCAGAAGCTTTGTGGCTTGCCAACAAGTAGTTTACCATATTCCAGTCTGGCTTTTTTATGATTTGTTTTCAACAATGGAGTCCTCCTTGGTTGTCTCCCATGTAGTCCACTTTGGCTCAAACAACGATGAATGGTACAATCTGACACTGATGTACCTTGAACCTGAAGTTCACATTGGATCTCTTTAGAAGTTTTTCTGGGCTCTTTTGTTCAGATTATCCGTCTCTTTGATTTGTCATCAATTTTCCTTCTGTGGCCACGTCCAAGGAGGTTGGCTACAGGCCCGTGGATCTTAATTTTCTGAATAATATGAGCAACTGTAGTCACAGGAACATCTAGCTGCTTGGAGATGGTCTTGTAACATTTACCTTTAAAATGCTTGTCTATAATTTTCTTTCTAATCTTCTGAGACAACTGTTTGCATCCTCTGGTCCATGTTGAGTGTGGTGCATACCATGTCACCAAACACCACACTGACTACCTGGAACCTGATCTATAGGCCCACTGACTGATTACAAGATTGTAGACACCTGTGATGCTAATTAGTGGGCACACTTTGAATGAACATGTCACTTTGGTCACATTATTTTCAGTCTTTTCTAGGGGTACCATCATTTGTGTCCAGTCCTGTTCTGTGAATTTATTTTTTAAATAATTCTGCTGAAGCATGGTTAAAAAGCAATGTCTGACTTTCATTTGCTAAATTTCATAGAATTTTGATTTATTGTTACTTTTGTCAGATTCAAGTTATTTCTGTGACCATTGTGGTTTTTCTTTCATTAACCAAAGGGTGCCAATAATTTTGTCCACGTTTGTAGGTGTGGGAAACGATTTTTATGTTCAGCCTGCATTAAAAACTCAGAGTGACCGATTGTAATCAGAAAATGTAAAATGTAAAAATGTTTTAATCAACCTTTAACGGCCCGTTTGTTTTTTAGAAATGTCAAACAAATAGCAAAATTATTGCTTTTTAGAAATAAAATAACAAAAGGTTAAAAAACATGTATAGCTGCTCAGTTAGGTATTTAGTAAAAAAGAAATCAAGTTTCAGTGTTTGTATATTTCCAGCCTTGAGCCTTACTTCCTTCATAAAAACAAGATCAGTGAAAATGGGAAACAGTATCTCACACACATAAAAAAAAATCATTGCGCTTTAATGACAGGCTGGTCTCATATTCATCAGAAACCATTTTCTCTTTTTGCCACGGTGTGTAATAGAGAGAACTCTCAGACCCAAAGCAAACAACTGAAACAAAACGTTACTGAGCTGCATAATGACTTCATTTAAGTGGGCTGCTACCCCTCTTTACTACTAATAGAAAGCTATTAAGTCCTGTTATGACACAAATGGTACGACCGGATCTGGTATCTCTTTGGGGTCTAAAGGGATGAGTCATGCTCCATCCATTTCACGTTACAGCCTTGGTGCTAGGCAGGTAACACTTTCATTTAATGCCAAACAGCAACAAAACAAGCAGATTTTCAAGTCATGTCTTAAATAACAATTCAAGGAAACATTTCAATCAGGATTCCATAATGTTTAATTGGCTTTAGCAACACTTGACATGAGTCTTGAGTCTGCAAGAGAATGACTCCTCTTCAGAACAGTCACTCAGGATGTTAACTCGCAGCGCTCACAGGTCGTTTCCCGTTAGTGTTATTGAGCTGTGAATTGGGAACTAACACTAAAATTCATCACAGAACAAACAAAACGTTTTGATTTGAGCAGAAAAACACAAGCTTATTGGCATTTGATGATAAAATGTTTTTTAAAATGATGAAAAGATTATAATAATCATTTAGCTGCATAACAAAATACCTAATTTTAGGAGTTTTTCCTGTAACAGCATAACAAAATAATAGAAAAACATGTTTATTGACATTTGATGATAAAATGGTTGGTATGTATGATGGAAAGAGTCCAGGATAGAATGTTTTTCTGTTATAGCAGAAGAAACTAACAGAAAAACTGTTTTTCTAAGGTGCTTTTTTCTCCCCACAGTGTAGATCCCTTCATTACTGCTGTCGCGTCTGCTCTGCCAGGTGGCAATGTGTGTGTGTGTGTGTGTCTGTGAATACAGGTGTGTGCTCTGCCTTTGCAGGACCTGTACGCTGCTGGTGAGGGCAAGTGTGGCACAGACGAGGAAAAATTCATCACAATTCTTGGCAACAGGAGTGAGGAGCATCTTCGAAGGGGTGAGGTCACTCAAGCTGGTGCATTCTAATGTTGTGTGCACATATGAATTATGTTATCTGTCAGTCACAAAAGGAAGAAATCAAAGTAAAAATATAAACTAAAAATCCACAGTCTAAGCTGCAGAAGTGTGTGCATGGTGTAGAAAGCAGAGACACCATGAAGGCAAGCAGCTCTAATAAGGTGAGACACACAAGAGCCACGAGCTCTGCAGCAGTCCTCTGGGCCAGAACCGCTCAGTCATGGAGACTGTTCTTGTTTAGACTGGTAACACGTCAGTCTGAACACACAAATACATAAAATCTTAAAACAGATTAGTTTAAATAGATGTTTTAATCTCAGTCACAACCTGGGTTCACACGTCGCCGACTTCTCGTCTCACATTTTCTGATTCACTGAAACAAATTTTTAAGACATTCAGATGAGATCTAGGTCTGGATGAGGTCTGGACAAGTCGCTTTGGACAAAAGCATCTGCTAAATACATAAACATAAACAGATCTAGATACATTGAGACCTTTCTGATAGACAGTCTACAGCAAAACAAGAGTGAAACTCTGACTCGCACAAGAAAACAGAAAACCTCTGCAAAGGATGCAAACTATCATGTTGGCTGAGAAACTGGAAAATGTGTTTTTGGTTGAAATGGTGAAAAAAATAGACAGACCTAAATCAACAGTCCTTTACTCTAAATCATTGGAGTCCAAATGTTTTGTCTGTTTTAAGTATGCACGGCCATCAGCATCAGAATATTTTGATTTAAAAATGTAAAAACAATTAAAATTTAAATACTTTTAAATTTGCCTAACAGACAAAACATTACACAATAAAATAAAAAATCATAAATATATCTTTGTAAAACAATTAAAAGGATCTCATATGTTTGCGCTATTAAAATATTTGGTCAATTGCTTGATTTGGTCCTGAAAATATTTTTTGTCTATTCTCAGCAACAAAAGCAGCTGCCAGCTTGTTACGGGTTTTGTCCAAAGTAAAGTCAGGGTTTGTGATAAAACCACAGCAAACAGGGTTAATAAAATAAAAATTCTTCTTAAAGTACTAAAACATTTTCCGTTTGCAAATCTTTTTATCTGCATTTTTATTAAATCTTCACACTAAATAAAGTCCACTTTGCTCAAGGGTTAGAATAAAACCATTCCTGAATTGTAGTCTCAAAAATCTCACTCCGAGGGCCAAAAATGGCCTGCGGCCCACATTCTGAACTACCTTGAGCTTAAATGTTTTCACAATTTCTTTGTTGTTAATACATTAAACTGTATTTACACGTACGGTGCACATTTTATCAGAAAAGTATCAAATAAACTTCTTCTGAGCAACATTGTGTTTTTGAACACAAGATGCTGATTTCACACTGACCGAGAAAAGCAATCAGCTAACTTTGAACTGGAAACACAATTAGGTTTAAAATCAATTGTCCAATTTTAAAAGTTGAACAGGTTTCATTCCTCTGCTGCCACTCTGGTTGTTTTGTTCTCTTCAGTATTTGATGCCTACAAGAAGATCTCAGGCTCGGATATTGAGGAGAGCATTAAAGGCGAGACCACTGGGAATCTGGAGGACTTGATGCTGGCTATTGGTACGACACTCATTTTAGAAGGGTGACACCTACTGTAAACCAATTCAATGTTCTCCCTCTGAATTTAATCGTCTGTCATACGTGTCTGAATGTTCTTCTGCCTCATCTTAACCTAATAAAGAATCTGTCTCTTTCTTGTCATTTCTCTCCTCAGTGAAATGTGTCAAAAGTGTCCCAGGGTATTTTGCTGAGAGCCTTTATAAATCTATGAGGGTAGGTATCGCTGTTCAACCCACACAGTGAAAATTTACTGCAGTCATTTGCTGCAACTGAAGTCCAATAAACTTAATGGCCTGCAGCTTACAGCAGAACCACGAGAAGCTGAGGGAAACTAGTCCTGCAACCTTCTTATTTAAATCCTAGCTAAACCAAAGAAAGGACCCATATGTGTTTAATTATTCCTGGTGTGATCAATCCCCAGATGACAAATTTTGTTTTCAGCCAATTAACTTCTAACAAGCCTTCTCTTAGCTCTGAGTCTGTAGACCTCTCCTACCTATTTAAAGGTTTTACAGATTAGGGTAAAGATGACTTATATTTTCTGGCTGTTTTACCCCTACTTCACACTGGAAGCATCAGTGGTACACAACAGCAGCGGGATGGTTAGCCACATGCTTTGCTGCATGCCAGTACTCACCGGGAGAATCTCAGCAGCGAAGCGGCTTCCTCACCGTGCTCCCAGCTGGACTCGAAAGATCACAAAAGTTTTCAAGACTTCCACCATCCTTCTCACTTAACTTGCGAGATCATGAGATCCCTCAAACCTTCAAAGGTCACGGTTTGCTCATGCCATCCACCATTAAACCAAAAAGAAAGAAATCATGTTTGATATCGCTCTTTGATATCATATATCATGTTGTTCCTCTCCACAGGATTTAAGCCATGAAAACATACTGTTGCACTTCTGGAACGATGCTGGAAGTAAATAAGCCGTTAGGTCACATAGACGTAATCTACGTAGATATGAAATTGCATTGCTTCTGTAGACTTTTCCTTTGAAATTTACCAGAGGTTTTACAGTAAAGCCGTGTGTGGGTTCCTAGCCCTAAGTTAACGGAGGAAATTGACGTGTCCCAGAAGCCGCTCGCAGCAAACATAGAACCCAATACCCAATAGTAGCACAGTGCCCTGCTTCTGGAATGGGCCTGAATGTTTCTGCATCCTGGCTGGTTTGAATCACACCTATATACCATAATAGTTTCTATTTGAAGCAGCAGTGTTCTGCTGCTAGTCCACACTGCTGATGCCACCGGTGTAAAGAAGGGGTTAGAATGTGTTTCTCTGTCAAACTGAATACTGTAAATCCTCTAATATTAGCCGGTATTCAATTAACGGCCAGGTCTCATATTTTGGTCGGAGTCGGCGGAGGTGAATAATGGCCGGTTTTTTATTGTGGCCGGGTGGAATGTGGTAACAAGCAAGTACGGGGGCGGTTGTGTCATCCGTCTCACTTTTGATTTGCCAGTGATAGACCGCGAGGGTAACTTTAACCGTGCGGAGACGAAGAGGAGACGAAAATTTGATATCAAGTTCAAAGAGAACGTGCTGATTATGCTACAGAACACTCTGGGGAGTAGTAGCAGGGGTTGTATGAACTAGTCAACTTCACTATAGTGACTTTCTATGCCTGTCATTGACTAGTCGCTGTCACGTGATGATGACCGGCAAGATGCCTCCCTCGGAAAAGACAGCAGCCTGCTGTTAGCAGGTGACAAGCTCCAGCGCTCGGGGGGGAGGGGGGCACACGCTGTGTCAGAGCGTCGGTACCGACACGCGATCGTTCATGTCGGCTCATTTCCTTTAATGTTTTCTGTCTTTTATTTGTGCCTGATGTGTTTCGCTGTGGAGCGGGGCGCATCACCTTGTCATCCGGTGACGCACCAATCACTGATGCGGCCAGCAAGCAGCGAGCACTCCGCTGTTTTTGCGGTCAGTAGATCTTTTAGAACTACAATTCAAAGGTAACTCATGAGGTGAATATATATGAACCCAGGTAGCAGTTTTTCTTTAGGACTGAGAGGAGATGCAGGAAGATAATAAACAGGCAGGAAAGAAAAATAGTCAAATAAAAACAAGTTAGTTTTTGTACCTGGTGGTTGCAACAAACAGACAACATTGAAGGTAATCAGAAGTGAGGAACAGAAAATGAAATAATTATTTTAATGTTTAGAGCAGCAGGAACTCCGACAGGCTGCAGGCGCATCAGTGAGTTTGCGGCCGCTGCGCAGGGGGAGGGGGGAGATGGCTGAAGCAGAAACTACCGTTGTTAAAAGAAATGTGTTTAGCTTTGAAAATGTGGGCGCAATTTTAATTGTCAAAAACTCCAGCGAACCATTAGTTCATTTTGCTCAAATAGAAATTGAGGCCTGCCTCTAATTCTAGCCCTCCTTCCAATAAAGGCCTGGAGCTTGATGAGCTTGAGTCAAATACAGGCCCGGGCCTGTATTAGAGGATTTGCGGTATATACAAATTTTCCTGATGCAGTGAACTCATTGAATGGCCTCTGTTTGGAGAAATAAAATTTATGTCCTACAGAACTGATGAGCCAACAGCTGGTCTGAACAAAACCAAGACCAAAGTGTATTACTGCTGTATTAAAACAGTGCTGACCTCAATCATTCTCAGATTTTCATATTGGTTTATGAGAAAGCGCCAGAGCTTGTTTTCCTCCCACCGAAGTGACTCACAACATTTGTTCCTAACAGAGACCATTACAGATCAAAATAACGAGCGTAGGACTCCTTTAAAACTTCCTATTTACTCGTTAATAATATTTACTCTGTAATAATTAATAAAAAATATTTAACAATCATTAAATTCAGATTAGAAATCATGTATTTTGTACAACTTTGACTGCAATTAACAAATAAAAAAAAGTTGCATGAAGAACAATGACATTTTTGAGATTGGAGCTGTTTTAAGACAGCTTTACCTAGTCGTTAGCTCATTCATCTCTTTATAATTATTTCCACAGAGTCATCAGGGAAGCTGCCAACAATAGAAGTTGTGAACATGTTTTGTTCATTTCAAGTGTCAACTTTTCCCAGTAAACCTCACTGTGGTTCTTATGGTTTGTGAAAGGAAGCAAGATTATGGGCATAAAACAAATCACTGTGTAATGTGCAAAGTGCAAACAAACAAATCCCCACGAAAAACTAAAAGCCAGAGCTTTATTTTGCTAGACTGAGCAGAGGTCAGATGAATGTGTTGTTTTTATGTTCAGCGAGCTGGAACTGATGACAAAACCCTGACGAGGATCATGGTGTCCAGGAGTGAGGTGGACATGTTGGACATCAGAGCTAACTTCAAAAAGATGTATGGACAAAGTCTCTATACCACCATCCAGGTACTGCTCAGAACAATATTTAAAAAGAAAGCTCCCCATCTTCCTTTTATAGTTGTTATTGAACACATTAATCTAATGTGTGCAAAGATAACAGCAAGATCTTTTCTCTCACTGGTTGCTGTTCTACGTGTCTTCATCTTTCTCTCTGCATGACTTTAAACCACAAGCTGCGCGTGATGTGGGTGTGCTGTTCATGTCAGCTCTGTGATGGAGTGAGGTTTGGTAATTTACTTTAAATGTCTTGTTCAGTGTGATGAGACTGCTTTCCTGCTACTCACACAAGCCAGAGTGAATTAATTTATTCTCCCGGGGCCAGATGTTCCTACAGAGAATAACTATTGCCCTCTTCTCATGGAATTCACCAATGCTGAATAGAATAAATAGGACATTATGAACAAAACCTTTGAATAAAAGAGAAAATGTAGTGGTTTTTTTAATTATTAAAGTGAATAATATTTAATGTTTTTCTTTTTTTTTCCTGAATTTGTAATTTATATTGATAGATTTCACATAACCCCATTTTTACATGATGAATTGTTCTCACAGCTGCGTTTGAACAAATAAGCTACTCAATATGGAAACTCTAATTATAGCAGATTTTCTTTTCAGAGCATTAAGTTCCCTCGATGCACTTCTAAACCCAGTTTTTATTAGTTAATCCTTCATTTCTGTTGCTACAGTCAGACAGCATTTTAACTCGCTCACAAGTCACCGTCGTTTCCAACAGAACGACTGATGTGAATCTGCTGGAACATTACAAACATCAGTGCTGCTGATGAGTTAGCTACTTTGGAGTATTTAGTTATAGTTACTAATCACTTTTTCAAAAAGTAACCAAGGTGATAGGTAATTTTTCATTTATCCCATATTACCTTAAAGGACGACACACACAGAGAGAGAGTAGATTGATTATTCGTAATTTCCATGACCATAGAACCTGAAATAAACACACATCACAAGAGGGAATTTCACTGTACCCCGAGTCCCCAAAACAGTGGAGAGTTGATGTAGGGGAAACCCCCCTCCGAGGCTGGCCCCACATCTCTCCCACGAGTCCTCAGTTTCCCAGGGGTTTTATTGACCAACAGGACAGAGAAGGCGGGCCTTCTCAAGTTACATACAGGTACAGACCCATCTCCTAGGGTTACCACGGTTACCACATTCCAGAGATCTGGCCTCAGGCATTACAAATTTCACAGGAGCCCATCATCCCCCACACAGACAAAGATTCACAGACCAACCAACATGAACATTTAATAAAAATACCCAACACGAGGTACAATATCATAAAAGTAACTAATTAACAAGAAAAATAACTATTGCCTTACTTAAAAAAAAACATGCACCAAAATTTGGATTTCCTCTTAGTGCTAAGTGGTTTGTATCTGTATAGAGCCTTCTTAGGGTTCTACAACCCCCCAAGGTGCTTTACAACACAATCAGTCATTCACCCATTCACACAACGCAGCCACAGTTGCCCTGGGGTGCACAGATGGAGGTGAGGCTGCTGAGCACAGGCACCACTGGTCCCTCAACTTAATACATTTACAACAAATGACTACAATACTAATTAATGAATGCGAATGAAATAAATGTAGTATCTCTAATCATTTATTATAAAAATTAATAATTGAAATAAATGGGCACCTAACCGAGTGAACTATAAACGGGAAACATTACAGTAATCTAAATGTCTCTGTGTATATGAAACAAGACACCAATAAAAAAAAGCATAATTGCAAATAGATTAGTAGGACATGGATAGATCTACATGAGCTTGTTTCATGCGATTAAATTGCGTATGCCGCATGTAGGAACACACTTTGTTCCAACACATTAATTATATTTCTTATAGATTATTGCATTTGATCTCTTTAAAGAGAAATAAAGTTGTGTGTTTTTGTCCATGAACTCCAGTTACTGCATTAGTAACGGAAACGGCGTTCTAACGACAGGGAAAGTAATCAAACACAGAAATGAGAAAACTATTAGTAAGTTGTTATTAACACCGTTATCGTTGATGCCGTTATTCCCATCACTGATGATCACCCTCTTAATGGTTTAGCCAGAGATTGCAATAAAAAAGGGAGACATCATTAACTATATAAAGTTTATATCTTTGTAATTCCACAGAAAAATCCTCCAACCAGGATTTCAGGATAGATGCTTTAACAAAACGAAGGCTGTGGGTTCAAAACCCAGCTGCAGCCTGTCTACATGGAGTTAACTTGTTCTCTACTTGCATGAGTGGGTTTACCTCCATGTTCTCAAGTTTCCTCCTACAGGCCAGAACATCATGCATGTTAGGTTAACTGGCAACCCTGAACTGTCCCTACACGTAAGTGAGTGAGTGACTGGTTGATTCTCTCCAAGTGTCCTTGTGATGGATGGGTGATTCGTCCAGGGCCTCTCACCTGATGCACACTGGAGTTAGGCACCTCTGGCCTTTGTCTGGAATAAGTGGTTCAGATAATGAATGGATGAATTATAAATGTTTGATATCAGCTTTTTTGCTGTTACCAATATCTGATAAAGTCTCTGTGATACCAAAATACGTGGAGTCCCATTTCTCCTATCATGCAAACTTAGACTTTAAACATTATCTGTGCATCATACGACTACAACTTCACTTTGATTTAAGCAGCATAATGAAGTGCCATATTTATTTAGTCTCCCAACAGCAGCTCAGTCTCATTCTTCCTGAGATAATCCTAAGAAACAAACACCACTGCACAGGGTACATTTCTGCTTCATCACAAGTTGCACCAAACAAACAAAAATACCTCAAAAACTAAACCTCAGATCTGTCATATTTACACATTTTGAGTGAGAGGAGAAGTATCTGAAGAGTTGGATGTACAATATGTGTAAGGTATGTCAAAGCTGTGTTATTAAAAGAGTAAAAACGGATCCCAGCATCAACGATATTACATTTTAATGCCAATATCAGCCGATAATAATGGTAGGTTGATAATATTGGGACATCCCTATGATAAAGGTGATTAGACCATGTATATGAATGTGTTTGTGTTAATGCAGTGACCAGTTACATATAGATATTGTTGTGAACATGCCGATCATGGTTGTTTACAGACTTAGGTGTTGGAGTACAGTCACCAACTACACAGCTTGTGGTTGCATCCCTCTACATGACTAAGTGTGATTTGGCAACATGATGAATCCCCTGCATGATACTCTGATTAGTCATTGTTACAAATTCATGCTTTTAAAGGGCAAAAAATCAGTCAGTACATTGTAAATTCCATTAAAAATTATAACCCGTGTTTTTAGGGCTCTAAGTGAGTCCGCTCAAATGTCAGAAGCTGTTTGCTGGAATGCTGCGGGCCATGTGATTGACAGAGGGGCCAGGAAGTCAAGCATTTATTCAGAATGCCAGAAAGGACACGTGAACAATTTGAGTTTCCATTTTTGGCTGAAGGCTGCACTAACACGTGGAGAGGAGGAGCAGAACATCTGCCCGGCCACATCTCATTAAATGTGACTGTGACCTACAAGTGTCATTGGAAACAGGAGTTACATTCATTTAAATTCAAAAAGCTGTTAAAAGGAAAAGAGACATGAAAGTTTTCATGCCTCAGAGCATGGTTAATGTAAAGGTTAAACGTCCTGCTTTTTGTTTCTGCAGGAGGACACCGACGGAGACTACCAGAAGGCGTTGCTGTACCTCTGTGGAGGGAAAGATTAATCGTGTTTATGATGTGTGGAGCAGCGCTGAGTGATGAGCGGCTGGGAGACAAATCTATAAACAAGAGACAAGAATATCGATCCAACGTTCTTCTACTGACTTTAACATATTATTGATTGAATTAAGATGAATTACCAGCATGACATTTTGATTGATATCTGCAGTGTGAATATCTCCTACCTTAATTCAACAAGACGTTCTCAGTTTTTAGTACAAATCTAGTTCATTTGAATGCTTCAATACATTTCAGACAGAGCTGTTTCTAGTCGACCGTACCAAGTTGGCAGCAGTTTACCTCATTTTTTCACCATGTATGTGTTAAATCAGCCTCCAACATACAATAGTGCTGTTTAATTATTAAGCCTACGTGTCAACAACAGTGCTCCGCTCATTAATTACAAATGAGGTGCTGATCCAGACTAGAGTAACAAAGCTGCTGTCAGTGATCAATAAGTAATAGAAGGGTATTAGATGGGCTGACTGAAATTAGGACCTTTTCATGAAAGGCGTAGGTGTTAAACAAAAGGGCTCCATAGATCAGAGGAAGACAAGTGGTTTCAGTCTGCTGAATGTGAACCACAGGGTGGCAGCAAAGTTTGGATTCATCACTGGGATTTTGACACAAAAACTTTACTTTTACTTTGAATAAATGTCACTCTGTGTGTCTAATTGAAATGCTTTAGTGAATATTATTTATTGAGCCTGTTGTTGGTTGACTTCTGTCTGTCCTGCTGTCCTTGTTTTGTTTGGTTCTCACATGGTTACTGCCTCTGGATTCCATCATATCTGTGAACAACTAAATAAAGTTTATGTTGTGGGAATTAATTTTAACAATGGGTGACTGAAACATCATTTTAATCCTTTTGATTAGATGTATTTATAACTAGCATCTCTCTGATGAACATTGTTTTCATATAAACCTCCCAAAATATGAAGTGCTATATTATGATGGCATCATTTTCTCCAATTTGCTGCAAAATGGTAAAGATTGGTTTTATCATTACATACCACATTTTCTATTGCTTCAGAGATTTTCTCATCGTTATTGTCATGGCTTTTATCAATATGCTTATCAATAACCCATTTCCTGTAGTCAAAGAGAAAAAGGAGACGATGAACAGACAAGTCAAAAAGTTATAACTGTGGCACAATGCACGAGGCAAAATGCCCCGAACATCTGGTCACAGAGTTTATTTATACCAAGAGATAAGACAGGAATAAAAGAGAGAGAGAGAGAGAGAGAGGGAAGTCAAGAATGTGTGTGTGGGTGTGTCTGAATAAGTGGGCATGCAAAGAGGCATAGAGCAATACATTTACATTCAGTTGATTGAATCAATGGTCAAGAATTAATAAACATGAAAAGTTCCACAACACATTCCCTCCTGTTTATCCGAATAGGATAACCTAACAAAAGAAAGCAACAAAACAAAACCAAATAAGGGAAATAAAAAAAAAAAGTAAAATAATAAGGCATTTTATCCACTTCCATAACTTGTCATCATTATCCATGAAAGCTACATCAATCACGACTCAAGGAATAGGGAAGGGGTAAAACCAGGAAAGGTGATCATCTCGGTATTCATAAGGACTAATAGGGTACAAATCAAGCAACTCAAGACAAAAATGATAAGCATCAAACAAGGAAAATAATAAGTAAATCACAATCAGACATGAAAGGTTCAGAATCAACACGATGAGGTGGGAACACAGCATGAGGTGCTGCATTCGTTTGTCGTTTACGGATCGTAATCTCAATCCTGATAACTTCGTCCCAAGAATCATTCCTTACAAAGTGTGATACAAAAATCAGCAAAATAATAAGAACAAATAAGGTAGTAAACACTATAAGGCAAACACAACTGACAATAATATCAAACAGCAGTTCACGGAGATAGAAAATAGAATCAGCTAAATCAACACAATTACAACCTTAAGAAAACCTATTTCATACATGTTGAAATGAATGTACTGTGATGCACAATTCTACAATCAATGGCAGTTCCTGTAAGGAGATTGGGAAAGGTTAGCAAAACCATATATAAAAAACATCAGTAGAGATTACTGAAACATCAGGTGAATTTAATTTAAAGCTTCAAGTTGCAGTCGACTCTTTCTGTGAATGAGGAAAAAATGAAGGTGTACTATTAATTTATGCAGCTCTAACTATGGCAGAGCAGAGGCAAATCAAACGTTCTGCATCAAGGGCGTGTCCGTGGGCTGGGAGTCTTGGTTGGAGAATAGTTTGGAAGGTCAGAGACTTCTTCGTTGGTCAGGATGGTTTCAGTCTTACATTGTTGACTACCTTGAAGTCCATGTCCGGAGCGTAATAACGTAGTTTGGAACATGAAGCACAAAGTTCAACTTCTCAATAGGAGGACTTCAGGGTCCTTCCGTGGTGTGTCGAGGCGGTTGTCCAATTGTCAGGGAGCTGATCTTGTCCCCGAAAAGTCCTTCAGGCCCTTGATCATGAAACCAGTCTGGAGATTTGGGTGCAGGTGCTTGAAGTAGTTGATCCTTTTCCAGCGTCTCTTCTTCGCTGTGTCATGTTGTAGTTGCGTCTAGGGGGTCGTCAGCCGAAGTGGATGCAGGTTACATTGTCATGTAGGTGTGCGGTCAGGGAGGAACCCCAATCCGTCGTTTCAGCTCCAGTTCTAGTACCCCCTCAAATGCTGCTGTCTCAGTTGTTCGATCAGGTGCGGAGAGGCAGCCCAAGTGCAGGGCCATGAGTGCGACCACCAACATCAACAATGTCGTGAACCCAACGAACTTAAGGCGGGCCTCCATCTTCACCGGGTTTGAGAGTTGGCACCCTAGTGGTGGCCCACCCCTTTGTAGCTGGACTTCGTTGCCACACTAAAGTGGTTAGCTGATAAGCTTGCAGTGGGATAGATGAATCCAAGATGGCCTCTCAGCAATCTTCACAGCAGTGGGAGTGACGAGGAGTACCTCGAATGGACCTCTGGCTGCCCCAACTGTCTTGCTTCAGCACCTTCATCAGAACCCTATTTCCTGGTTTCACAACCTGTGGCAACAAAGCACAAGGAAATTCTGGGAGGTCACTGTTGATTTTGAATTGTTTTCAGCAAAAATCCTTATCATCCAATATTTATAGTAATTCTATCCAGGCAGTGTAATAATGTAAGGAAATCGTTATCAGCCTTCCCTCCTCTTGAGGCATGAGGCAACTCATGGCTCACCAGAAACAAAACACAACCAAAACATAAACAAAAATGGCCCGATCCGGCAAGCATTGCGCCAACCCAACGTTAAAGTTGGACCCAGGGCCGTTGCTAGCTATTTTGGTGCCCTAAGCACAAAGTCTTTGTGGTGCCCCCCCCCCGCCACCCCCCCCCCCCCACACACACACAGAAAAAACAACACAATCACAGGCATGTGACATGACTAAATTCAAAACTATTTAACCTTTATTAAGAATTAGAGAGGCACAATATACACAACTAGAAAATTCTGAATATGAAGGGAGGAGGTTAGCATAATGGACTTTTTTCTTCAAATTATACCATCAGCAGCTGATGTTCCTCTTGGCCCGTAAATGTTTATGAAATATATATCAACATAGTGCAAATACCTAATTTTAAAATAGGTTTGTCAAATTTTTCATATTACTGTAAATCTCAGTTACATAGCCTATAGGCCACATATGCTATTTAATAATGATAGAAATCATGTCCATAGTTAACTCATGATTAATCACAAACAGCAGCTTATTTAAAAATAAAACTTCTTACTTTACCTTGACGGTGTTTTTGTCCTTCCTGTTTTTGTGATAGTTATCTAAGTATTTGGGTGGACAAATATGATTCATTTGTTTATTTCTGTTTCAAAACAGCACAGATGGGCCTTTCTGACCTCACAGAGGAAACTTTATTTTACTTGAGAAAGATGTTTTAAGATGAACTTATTAAAACAAAAAAATCTTCAAACTCTTCAAGGTCTATTTTTATATGAACAACCTTTAACACTGTTCAGACTTATTTGTTGATACAAGTCGCATGAACAGGCTGAATAAAAGGATTTTTCCCTTTGTTGCATTTAACTATTTCTTCTTTAAAGAAGTGCTGATTCAGAAGAGAATAACTGCATTTAGGAAGCTGATGACTTGCTTCGTTTTTTCTCCAGCAGTAAAAAAGCTCTAAAGCTTCTCTGAGTTTCTCTCCCTCTCAGGCTCGCTCACTCAGCTGCTAATGAATGCCCGGTAGGCAGGGCCAGATTAACACTTTGTTGTACCCTGGGCAACAATATTCAAGGGCCCCATCATCATGACCCAAGGATCACCATAATATGGTCACTTACAGAATATATTACTGTAATATGCAGTAAATATACTCAATATTTGAATGCCTGATGTCACGTAACCCGCTCAGGGTAACCTTTGACCCACCTCGTGTGGACTGACCAATGAGGAGAGAGTCTTAACTTGAGGCCCTCTCTTCATTGGTCAGTCTGCATGAGACTGACTCTCAACTGACGTTCAAAGTCATAGGCAGCGAAGTGTCTCAGCGCAAAAGCCCGGGTGGACAGTTTGTTTAATGTAGGGTGACCATATTTCCATTTCCAAAAAAGAGGACAGGGGATCTGTGCCTATGACGTCACACTATGGCAACGCCACACAAACCACTTTGGGACCCATTTTTTTGTAAGAAGTAAATTAATATCAGATTCTACCAATAAAAGGGCTCTAAAACAATTCATATGTAAATATTTTGCATATTTATTGCAAAATCTCATTTTTCTGCTTTAGTGCTGCAACAAGGTTTTATTAATAATAAATTATTATACCTTTTGTTTTACTACAGCATCGGAAAGCTTCCTGTGCACAGATTATTAAGGATGCTTGTTTCAGCAGTGAGATTAAACGATAGGATCAATGATAAAATAAGTTGCCCACACTCCATGGAAACTTTCAGAGAATCCACAAATAGTGGCTTTCAAATGGTTTTGTTACTTTTAGCAAGTTTAGAAAAGCAGCAGATGAGACAGCATGTCTGATAATTTAGTTTTTCATCAGAAAAAATTAGAACATGTCAGTAATGTCTGAGGGGCTTTTATAAACACTGTATAACTAACACTCCTGGAGAGGGTATGAATTACACAGAGGCTTCTGGGGAGCCCAGTTATGGTGTGTGTGTGTGTGTGTGGGGGGGGGGGGGGGGGTCGTCATTTTGCCTTGGCCCCCAAAATGTCTTGAAACGGCCCTGGGTGTGTAACTGAGTTTTGAACGTGATCTGAATTTGTATCAGATGTATAATTATTACATGTGTATAACTTATTGTTTTATACAGGTAAAAACGTGTAGTGGAGATAAATCTACCTACATTTTACTTTTCAACACTTTGTTTTGTTTTTATTTAACTATATTTTCCTGTCCTGTCTGTCTCTCATCTTCCTGCATCTCCTCTAAACTCTCCAGAAAAACTGCTGCCTGGATTATTACTTTTTCACCTCATCAGTTACTTTTGAGCAGATCAAAGGGATCTCCTGACCACAAAGCGGAGAGCGCGTTTCGATGCGTCAGTGAGGGGAAATCTCCGCAGCACAGGTGATGAGCTCCGCAGTAGCAGAGCGCTGCAGGCACAAATAAGACAGAAAGTAGAGAACATGAGCGGACATGAACGATCATGTGTTAATTATAGTTTTTTGGTTGCGCCACTTTGAGAATGGACCGTGCACTGGAAGCAGCCGCCCGGAGCGCTGCGCAACAACGCGATGTGCCGCTTTCTGCTCAGAAGAGTCCATAAATGAAGTAATATAGGTAGAAAACTTTTTTCCGGCTCCCCTGGATGTGGGATATACAACTCCCCCATAATTCGATC